TGCACAGATCACTGAAAGTTGCCACCCAGGTTGATAGCGTTGTTAAGAAGGCGTACAGTATGTTAGGTTTTATTGGTAGAGGGATTGAGTTTCGGAGCCATGAGGTCATGTTGCAGCTGTACAAAACTCTGGTGCGGCCGCACTTGGAGTATTGCATACAGTTCTGGTCACCGCATTATAGGAAGGATGTGGAAGCATTGGAAAGGGTGCAGAGGAGGTTTACCAGGATGTTGCCTGGTATGGAGGGAAGGTCTTATGAGGAAAGGCTGAGGGTCTTGAGGCTGTTTTCGTTAGAGAGAAGAAGGTTAAGAGGTGACTTGATAGAGACATACAAGATGATCAGAGGATTAGATAGGGTGGACAGTGGGAGCCTTTTTCCTCGGATGGTGATGGCTAGCACGAGGGCACATAGCTTTAAATTGAGGGGTGATAGATATAGGACAGATGTCAGAGGTAGGTTCTTTGCTCAGAGAGTAGTAAGGGCGTGGAATGCCCTGCCTGCAAAAATAGTAGACTCGCCCACTTTAAGGGCATTTAAATGGTCATTGGATAAACATATGGATGATAATGGAATAGTTTAGGTTAGATGGGCTTCAGATTGGTTTCACAGGTTGGCGCAACATCGAGGGCCGAAGGGCCTGTACTGCGCTGTAATGTTCTATGTTCTATGTTCTATGTTCTATTCCTTCACTGTTGCTTGGTTAAATTCCTGGAATTCCCTCCCTTGATGCACAGAGAGATCTGGGTGGTCAGGTCCATTGTACCCTGAAGGTGGCAATGCAGGTGGATTGAGTGGTCAAGAAGGCATACGGGATGCTTTCATTCATCGGACGGGGTACTGAGTACAAGAGTTGGCAGGTCATGTTACAGTTGTATAGGACTTTGGTTTGACCACATTTGGAATACTGCGTACAGTTCTGGTCGCCACATTACCAAAAGGATGTGGATGCTTTGGAGAGGGTGCAGAGGAGGTTCACCAGGATGTTGCCCGTTATGGAGGGCGCTAGCTAAGAAGAGAGGTTGAGTAGATTAGGATTATTTACATTAGAAAGACGGAGGTTGAGGGGGGACCTGATTGAGGTCTACAAAATCATGAGAAGTATAGACAGGGTGGATAGCAAGAAGTTTTTTCCCAGAGTGGGGGACTCAATTACTAGGGGTCACGATTTCAAGGTGAAAGGGGAAAAGTTTAAGGGAGATATGCATGGAAAGTTGTTTACACAGAGGGTGGTGGGTGCCTGGAACGCGTTGCCAGTGAAGGTGGTAGAGGCGGGCACGATCGCGTCATTTAAGATGTATCTAGACAGATACATGAATGGGCAGGGAGCAGAGGGATACAGATCCTTGGAAAATAGGTGACATGTTTAGATAGAGGATCTGGATCGGCACAGGCTTGGAGGGCCTGTTCCTGTGCTGTAATTTTCTTTGTTCTAATGGCTCTGTGGGTGTACCTACACAACATTGACTGCAGGGGCTGATTGATCTACTCTCCTGCTCCCAATTTGCGTGTTTGATTTCATATCGTTCAAAAAAGCAGTTCACCTCCTCCTTCTCAAGAATATAAGGCACCCTTGCCAGTGATCCTCAATTTCCATGAAAATATACAATACAGCCATCACCACAGTCAGGACTCCCATGTCCAAGCAGAAGCCATGGGCCTGGGGATGCTTGAGTTCTGTACCTCCTTTATCCCATCTGACGATCCTCCAGATGCTGGGCAGGTCATCAGGGTCCTCCACCATTCCTTTCACCAAACCTTCTGCTCCTTCAGGTGCCCGGGCCTAGCCGCAATCAGGCTCGTCCTGGTGTTGCTGCCACTGCTGCTGAAGGCCTCCTCCTTCACCCGCCACTCTCCAGGTTCTAAAGAAAATGCCAAAAGAAAGAAAAAGTGCAAAAGGAAAAAGAAGGAAAGACAAAAAGAGAAAGAAGTAGACAGGAGCAGATGAGTCCTGGGCTCAGTCCTGCTACTCCACTGCCATCTTGGAGTTTCTCATCTTCCTCATGTAGTCCACAATTGTTCTAGGCATCCTGGGTTCTCCGAACTTATTGCTGCTACATTTCTCTTTAAAGGGTACATGTTGGACATTTACTTTTCCCAGCTCCATTTTGAATGGACCCCACTGTCCCACTCCTTACCTGCAAAGAAGCTGTTCCCGATCAACTTTGGCCAGATGCTGCTTCATTTTAGTAAAATCTGCATTTCCCCAAACCAAAGCCTTTTTTTTTGCAAGCCATCTCTTTCCTTGTCCATAATTTGAACCATGCTGTGTTGTGTCACTATTGCTAAAATGTTTCCCTACTGCCACACTTGTCTGGCTTCTTTCTCCAGAACCATGTCCAACATTGCACCATCTCTTGTTGCCCTTCTACATATTGATGCAAAAGAAAAACTCCCCTGGATACAGTTCACAAAATCCACTCCCTCTAAACCCTCAACACTATGACTACTCCAATTTATGTTGGAAAAGTTGGAATCCCCAAGTATAATTCCCTGATTATTACTGTTACACACCTCTGTGCACTGTCTACATATTTGCTCTTCCATTCCCCACTGATTCTTTGGGGGCCTATAACATACTCCCAGTAAAGTGGCTTCCCTCTTAACATTCCTAAGTTCTACCCACAAAACCTCATTATGAGGACCCTTCCAAGATATCATCACTCCTTATTGCAGTAATTGACACCTTATTTCATAGTGCCACACCACCATCTTTTTTCCACCCTCCTCATGTTGAGTTGCTATACTAGCCTTCCCTCAACTATGTTTCTATGATGGCAACAGCAACACAATCCACACTTTTAACTGATCAGTCTTACCTGTTACACTCCTAGCATTAAGTAAAGATCATCCAGCTTTGCCTTACTTTCTTGACGCTCAACATAGCTGAACTCACTGTCACTTGCTTCCTTTCATGTAGTATGATATGTCTGGATATATTTTATTTTGGATTTTTGAAAGGGTTGAGCATAGTCTTGTTACAGAGGGGCTGGTTAAATGAAATGAAAACCCTGATACTCACTTTATAATCAACAAATAACAATTTATTTATCTAGCTCTAACATGAACAAATTAACAGAACTATTAACAAACTGAACAATTCCCCCCTTAACTACTAACTATTCCCAAATAAAACACATTCTAATGGTATGCTGTTCCAATAAATACAAGTCCCACTTATATAAACCAAAGGAATAAAAAAAAATTAAAACTTAGTCTCTCGAAATTACAGCCAGGATAAATCTTCCGGAATGTTCTTAACCTTCTCTGCTGTTTTCTATTCAGGAATGCTTTTCTTTGTCAAATTCTGGTGTCAGGAATATTAGCTAAGAGTGCCATAGTACCTTTATTTAGATGGTGCTTATTCTGAGAGCCTAGAGATTTCTGTGAGAGCCAATGAGTTTCTCTTCAGATGGCAGTTCACCGTCACACTGATTTTCAAATAATCTCTTCTTTTATACCCTTGATGACCTATCAATTTCTCACTACAGGATTGGTCCTAGGTTGTCAACACCATCAGATTTAAATTTATTTAAGTTTTGATATCGAGGGCCTGGTTTAAATTAATTGGCTAAATTCAAAATCCTATTGTCTTGGTCAAAATGCTGCTTTGCCTGCAAACAGTACAGCTGTTCGGATATAATATTTCAATTTCAAGAATTCTCTGCAGACATTGTTTTTAATCCCCAAGTGTAAAAAAAGTACACCTTTTAAAGGGACCATGCAGTCTTCTCCCCATTATTTTACAAACAAATTCAAACATCCTGCCTTCTATAGCTAACTTCACAACATTCTGTTCTCTGCCTACTGTGAACACTAAAGGAATATGCTGTTTGATATGATCAATCAATCTTTGGTTCATTTAGCTTGTACCTGGCATTGCACTGGCACTGGCACTGGCATTGTGGGATAGACATTTTTGTTTGGATTGAATGCAGCGTTCCATTTGTGATAAATATGATGTACATAGCTAGGATAGCAGCGTGGAATGGCTTCTTTAAACTGTTCTTCAATTTTTTTTAGGTATTGTGTCTTTCCAGGGCTGCTGGGTTCTCCACTCCTTTCCACAACAAGTTTACCTTCACCAGTCTATATAAAAGTTAGGATTCATAAAACTCCATGCACAATTAGATTGGCCTCACGACCAAAATTGTAAATAGGGCCCAAGCCATTTGCTACCTATAACTTTGACGCAGAAATTGAGTGCATCAAATTTATCATCTAGTGCAGGGCATCATGATCAGATCAAAGCTCATTGCATATTGCGCAAACTTGAAAATCAGTAAACCGCTGCCACCTTTGTGCATGAAGAGTGCCCAGTTTACTTTAAATTATTCTGGAAAGATAAACTATCTCAAAAGTTTTGCCAGAAAGTTCTGGAGGATGCTTCATGCTATGATGCAGTGGCTTTGTGAGTGGTATTTTCTGTGAATGACATGCCTTGAGAAGAGTAGGAGAGGCAAATCACCCCACACCATTCCTGACTGCAGATCTCTCTGTAACCATTCAATGATTCTATGTGGTCGCCGTAAAACATATATGATTCTGAAATAACACAGTGTGGAGCTGGAGGAACACAGCAGGCCAGGCAGCATCA